TCTTGTGGCGGCAGTGCTACTGCTAGGGTTTCAATAATTTTTTATTTTACAGTTTTATAATTTTAAAAAATAAAAGAGGGGTATTTTTGTCCAACTGTATTGAAATTGGTCCTATGAAAGTTGTGTTTCATTTGTGGTCCTAATTGTGCAATTAAATTTGCTATAAGTCCTATTTGAGTCATTAACTCGCTTAATTAAGGATAGTAAGCACATTTTTCGGTTAGTAAGCAGTTTTTTAACCAGTTTACGTGTTTATTTCACCTGTCTTACTAACTCATCTCTAAATTTTGCAGCGAAATAAACATGTCCTTAGGGAGTAATTTTAGTGCATTTTTATAAGATTTTTATAAGATATGTTTTCCTATTATTAAGAATCAATAAAATATAAGTAGAAAAATATTAAATACATACGGAGTGTTAGAATGAATTGGTTAAAAATAATAATAATAATAGTAATAAGAATAATATTAATAGTTTGAAACAACTCTAAAAATTGTGAAGGACGGGTAAACATCAAGGAAATTAGAAATTAGTTTCATTGGATAAATGCAAAAGGAAAAAAATATATTATGAAATGATGGTCAATTGGATGAATCATAAGTATACAAAAAAAAAGTCACCAAAGTTGATAATAATGTAAGAAGTTGGGAGTTGGGATAGGAAAATGACTTATACCAAACATCAAGGAAAATAAAAGAAATTGGGGTATAACCAATGGACCAAATATGTACGACGACTAAAGCAGATGGTACAACCTAGCGCAGGCAGCACACAATGAACCACCCACCCAACATAATGTTCGGAGCGAGTTACACTCACGTCCCTTCAAACTCGCTATATATATACGCGCCCAAACAATTGCACCTCTGACCATAACTCCCTCTCCCTCCTTCCTTCTCTTCCTTCCCAGATCCAGGTTTCATTCCAATCCACTCCAGGTGCGTATGGTATAACCAGATCAGCTAATGTTCACGCGCTTATGCCGTAACATTTTGATTTTTAATGATGTTATTTGAGTAATGCTGATGCCTGTAGGAGTTTCTACCATTGAATATGTTGTTTGATAGGATCGCATTGTTGTTTGTGTGTCGCGTGTTTTTCGTTTGTAAAATGTGCAGATCGGAACACAGAATCTATATATATCTTATATTGCTCGCGCCTCCTCGGATCTGATTTCTCCGTTAATGAATGTGTATAGAAAAAGGAATGTGCTTCGCTGTTACTGAGCCTTGAAGACCGAATATAGTCCCTTTCTATTGTTCTATGGGTTTCGATCTGTATTTATAATAGACAACTATGATTTGATTAGGCTGCAATGGGATCTTGAATTCCATACTACAAAAAAAAGGGCTAAAGGGGCGATGCATGAATGAGTGAAACACAATGAATTGCTTTTCAGTTCTGAAAATCAAGTATTTAGATAGGAGCTTGTAATGTGAAATTTTAAAAAAATCCTGGCTGAAATAATAACTGTTCAATAAATAAGAAAGTGTGATTTTTAAGGTGATTAATAATTTTTATGTAAATTGATCAACATGCCCCAGTTGATTTATTTAATTTAAAAATAACTAGAATGAAGTGAAAAAATCTGGAACAAAAACTCGGACAAAATTGATTTTGGATGTCTTTCCGAACTCATTTTTACTTGTTTATTTCTACTATACGAAAGATAAAAAAAATACACATTTTGTAAACTGTTAATCATATACTAGTGCTACATAGGATTTTCGAGGTAAAACCAAACACAGGAAAATATCTTTCTTTAGCATTTCCCGCACTTTCATTTATCATATTGGACTAGATTGAATGAGAATATCAAGGTTTCTCTGATTATTACCTTTAAGATGATGAAATGCTGACTAAAGATCATAATTGTATGTCTGTTTTGTTTTGTTTTGTTTTGTTTTGTTTGGTGAACAGACAGAAATGGAGACCTTCTTGTTCACCTCTGAGTCAGTGAATGAAGGACACCCGGACAAGCTCTGTGACCAAGTGTCAGATGCCATTCTGGACGCATGCCTGGAGCAAGACCCAGACAGTAAGGTTGCCTGTGAAACATGCGCAAAGACAAATATGGTGATGGTTTTTGGAGAAATCACAACAAAGGCCAAAGTGGACTACGAGAAGATAGTGCGTGACACTTGCCGGGGCATTGGGTTTACCTCACCTGACGTTGGTCTCGATGCAGACAACTGTAAAGTCCTGGTTAACATTGAGCAACAGAGCCCTGATATTGCCCAGGGTGTCCATGGTCATTTCACAAAGAAGCCAGAAGATATTGGGGCCGGTGATCAGGGCCACATGTTTGGTTATGCTACAGATGAGACTCCTGAACTCATGCCGCTAACCCATGTGCTGGCTACCAAACTCGGCGCGAAACTCACGGAGGTAAGAAAGAACAAGACTTGCCCATGGTTGAGACCCGACGGCAAGACCCAGGTCACAGTCGAGTATAGGAACGATAGCGGTGCTATGGTCCCACTCAGGGTCCACACGATCCTCATCTCAACCCAACACGATGAGACCGTCACGAATGAGCAGATTGCCATTGATTTGAAAGAACATGTGATCAAGCCGGTGGTCCCTGCTGAGTATCTCGACGACCAGACCATCTTCCATCTCAACCCATCAGGTCGGTTCGTCATCGGTGGGCCCCACGGGGATGCTGGGCTCACAGGACGGAAGATTATCATCGACACTTACGGCGGGTGGGGGGCGCACGGTGGGGGAGCCTTCTCAGGGAAGGACCCTACCAAGGTGGATCGGAGCGGGGCCTACATCGTAAGACAGGCGGCAAAGAGTGTGGTGGCATCAGGACTTGCCCGCCGCTGCCTTGTCCAAGTCTCTTATGCTATCGGGGTTGCCGAACCACTATCTGTGTTTGTCGACACGTACAAGACGGGGAAGATTCCGGACAGGGATATATTGGTTCTCATCAAGGAGAACTTTGATTTCAGGCCAGGGATGATCACGATCAATCTTGACCTCAAGAGAGGTGGCAACTTCCGTTACCAGAAAACTGCAGCTTATGGTCACTTTGGGCGTGAGGATTCTGACTTTACTTGGGAGACCGCCAAGATCCTCAAGCCCAAAGCTTGAAGATGTTGAAACGATTGACCGTATAATTGTTTCTGCATAATGGGTTTCCTGCAGCCATCTCTTCTTCTGGCTGTTGTTGATTAATAAGCGCCACTCTTGGTTCAGAACGTTTTCTAAGTTGCATGATCTCAAGATTTCTTCTGATCAGATGTTTTTTCTGTTTTTATTTTCTTTAAGGGGTTTTAAGTTTTACTACTTTTATTTGTTTCTCATTATACCGAAGAAATTGATGTGATTTTGGCTGTGTTTTATATTATTAGATCCATGATTTTGGAAATCATTGTGATTTTTGGTTAGTGGTTGTGAACTACACCATTCATCAATGGCAAATATGCATTCGGGTGGACTGTGGACATATCTTTCTGCTAGTAGTACTCTCTTGGTTTCCTTTTGTTATTTAAAGAAATGGTCATCAATGGCAATTATGCATTCGGGTGGGCTAATCTTTCTGCCGTTAGTACCATCTTTGTTTTTACTTGGATTGGAATTTGTTAATTTGATCTGATAAATGTTTGGTCCCTTTGTATTTTATAGCTATGAATGTTTGAACTAGTTTGGTCTAGTCTATTTAAATCTGATCTGTTCTGGGACTGAAAAAAGTCCAAAGTAAAAACACTGGAATATCCAAGATTTAAAAGATATTTAAGGAGTTTAATAAGGGTCACTTGATATGAAATGGCGGACTATGATTTTTTATTTGGCCTCAATAATTTTGTTCTGGTACATAATCTTTAGATTAGGAATGCAAAAGGATCCAATTTGATATGGGAAGTAGTTTTGAACATAATTGCGGTGAGAAAATGTTTTGGAAAGTTTTATGAGGTGACAAATGACGTCATGTGATTATTGGTTATTTGGTTATATGTTGCACGAAAATGAATAACCGACTACTGGCTAGGGACGGACTCGGTTCGGGCCGGGCCCGGTTTGGGCCTTGAACCGGCCAGGCCTCAGTTCAAGGTATGGGAGGCCCGGAACCAGCCCGGGTAACCCCCGGGTCCGTGCCGGGCCGGGCCTCGGTTATATTTTTTTTTTTGGGCTTTTTCTAGTTAACCCCCAACCCTCCGCCTCACCCCAAACCAACCCTAACCACCTCAAATGGCCCAAAATACCCAACCCAACCCAAAAACTTAAAAAAAATCCAAAAAAAAAAATTAAAATTAAAATTGGCCCGGCCAGGGCCCGAACCGGCCGGGCCGGTTCACCTTTTGAAGGGCCCGAGCCCGAACCGAGATCCCACCGGGACCGGTGGCCCGAACCGGCCAACCAACCGGTTCACCGGGCTGGTCCGGGCCCGCACAGTAGCGGGCTGGTCCGGTTTCGGGCCGGTTGGCCCGGCCCGAGTCCACCCCTACTACTGGCTTCGTTGCAGGCATACCATGATATGAATTTAAACACTCCTTGAGATGACATATTTTAAAAAAAGGATGACACCCCATCCCTGAGAGCCCCCAACCCCAACCGAACGATACGTTGGGAGAATGTAAGTTGGACTATAATCACAATCTGACAGATAGAGAGTGGAGCTCTGTCCTCGGTACTTGCGGAGGCCCTATGCATTTAAACACTCCTTGAGATGGCATATTTTAATTGGAACCTGGAAGTGACTAAAAACAAAAAGGTAATGAACCCGCTTGTGATTGTCCTATAGGCTATAGCTAGCTAATCTCTGTGTAACATCTAAGGGAGCTTTTGTTTCAAATAGTCTCAGATTCTCAGTAAGATTACCTTATTTGGTATGGATATTCAGATTACCCTAGTAAGCTGAGATACAATAGAAAAGCAATGTAATGTCATTACCTTGGATTCCTAAGACTACCTTGGTCATATATTGAATTATTCCAAATTTGTTTCTAACAATTCAGTGACAAGGTAGGCTTACATTCACCTACCCCAATTATTAGCTAGCCAAAGTAACCTAACCCTTACATTTCAGGAGTAGATGAAATAAAACTCTTTTTTATTTAATTTCATGGGAGCATAAACATTCACAGGATGGGGATACATTTATATGTGTGATAACAGCAATAGTTCAAAACATCTAGAGATTTTCCATCCAAGAGTGTTGTGCAACCAAATCAAACCAAGCCTATGTGTCTAAGAGTGCAACCAGAGTCTGTCATGCAGTCTCTCTTCGCCGGCACCAAACATCTCATCAACCCTCTCCCCATCGCGGAAGAAATGGAAAGTTGGCGTGTAGCGGACATGCTGGGTTGTCTCTGGACAATCATCAATATCAGCATATACAAACGAGAGTTTAGGGAAGCTGTTACTCAACTCACAGAATGTTGGAAGTATCTGGCTGCAAACACGGCACCTGGCGAACCCACGCATCAAATGTGGTTTCAACATCGCCCACAACGTTTCAATATAATCAAATGAAAAAAGTAAAAGGGCTACTAGTTTTCAAGCTCTAGTATTACGAATCTGCCATTTCAGGTCACGACAGTTCAAGCATGAAATCAGTGCATGGTCTATGTTCAAGGATTTATATCCCAAAGTTATCCTACATCAGAGAGCAAACATATAAGCCATATTAAAACATGATATTTCATCCTAAAGGGGTCATTCTAATATAACCAGCCCGAGACTTGTTGTTTAGGTCGTATCTATTTATTTGAGTTACGTGGATGGACTGGATGGTTAAACAGCACATTGGGGTTTCAACTTTTAAGATGGAGCATCATGTCTCAAATACATCACCTTAATATAGAAAGTGCTACCAATATTAGGTGTTCCTAGAATGGCATGCTTTTATGTGGGGCTAAGAGTACATTGTAAAAGTTCGACTACTTCATTGTAAAATTAGGGGAGGTTGGAAGGAGCGAAATGTGGGAGGACATTTAACAGTGTGTCAACCCAAAATAAAAACATTTATTATATTTCTTCAACCTCTTTTTCTTATATAATTCTATATAATAAGCACTACTAAAAAATCCAAACATATTGTAATGGTTTTAAAAAACATAATCAAAATGTACTTTACTTTTTCACTTTCTAAGATCAACCAAACACAAGAAAACAACTCTTGCTTAGCACTTTTTCCCCTTTGCATTTCATTTTACTTGATCCAAAGCTACCTAAGCCTCAGAAGACTGCTAAAAATCAGTTTACTTGGCAGACCATTAGGCTGTCTAGGCACTCTTACATGTGTTGGGCACTCAATTAGGCTCTTCAGGGAGGGCAAGGTGCCACTCAAGCTGCTGACTAGCACCCAGAAAGTATTATCGAGGGTTTGTGTTCCTGAAAAAGCAAAAGGCACTATCCATGTTTAGCTGGTAACAGTCTCGCATTTTGAGGGTCAAGGGCCATGCCAGATCACTCCCCAATCGACCACATACCAGTTAGCGTTGGCAAACCCAATGGATATACTACATTCAAGAATCATGAAATGGCCCAATTTCAGCACCAAAATTCAGAGTGAATATTAGACCCCAGAATATGATTGATTACACATGTGAGCAAGGCTTCTTGTAAACCTATCTATTTCAGAAAAAGAGGGCAATTACTCGGGGGGAAATGATCTGCCAACATTTTTTCGAAATGCAAAGACACTAGGTTGCATCTCAGTAAATAATTGAAGCTGGGATTTAAGGATTAAAAGCACGTCATATATAAGCTACTGAAAAATGGAATATTTATGGAAGTTGCTAACTTACCAAGATGCGCCATAGTTAATAACTGCCTGCAAAAACAGTTTGAGATTGGGATTCAGCACATCCAAAGCCATCTCAAATCGTGGTGTATATGTAGGAATAAAAAAGAAAGTTGAGGAAGTAGAATCTACACTGACAGGAGTTTTGGAAGTCCTGATTTGGTGAAAAAGGTCCCTTAGCTTATCATCGCTGGTTGCGGAAATAAGGTTACCTGTATTTTCCTTCCACTGACGACGAGAAGTGTGCAACTTTTCATTCTCTTCTTCTTTCCCGTTCTGCTCCATTTTGCCCTTCCACCACAACTGTTTCTATGGACGCTCACTTCTTTTTTCTATCAAGGTAAATTAGGAAACTATAATTAATTAATTAATTATTCATTAACGGGACAGGAGTAGTATATAAAAAGTAATAGACCTAAGACTAAAACAATAAGAAAGTTCCAAAATAAGACTTCTTGTTAATTTACCCCTCCTACAACTAGCTTTAACTTTAATTAATTTTCCTGTCAGACTTCGGGGTGTCTCCGATATGGATTCTTACGGATTTTAAAGGAATTTAGAATTCCATCAAAATTCGAGTGTCCTCGACAAGGATTTTCAAAACTCCTTTAAAATCTGGGTGTCATCAATTACTCCATGTGGATATTTCTCGACTCACACACCTCTACATCTTCCCTCTCATTTATTTCCTCTTCTCTCTCGGGCTTTTCTCCTCCCAACACCCATCCATCTTCAAATTTAATCTCCAATTCCAGATTTCATCTTCAATTTCTCCATCTCCGATACTAACAAAGTAAGGTTTGGATTGATTTTTTCTCCTCAACTTAGACCATCGGCGGACAACGACGATTATGGTAAGTAAATTTTGATCTCCTCTTCTTCTTTCTCCTCCTTCTCCTCTTCTTCTTTTCTTTCCCTTCTCCCTTCTCCCTTCTTTTCCTTTGCTCTGAGGCAGAGCCCCGATCGATCTATTTCTTTTTTGCAACTTCAACCTGCTAATTTGTAATGACTTAACCAATTTTTAAATTGATTTGTGCTTTACTTCCTTTTCCTTTTCCAGGTCCGAATTTAATATATCAACAATTTTTCATGTTTCTTCTCTTTTTTAATCTTTCAATTTTTCTTTCACCCTTTGTTCTTTTTTATTTTATCTTTTATAATAAGATGATATTTTTTTCATTCGATCATGTCAATTAAATTTTTGTAACTCTTCAAATTAATTTTATTATTTAAATGTAAATTTCTTTAACCGTTAGTTTTTAGGCATTAAAATGAAAATATTACTTTACAAGAACAATATTCATAATGCCCTGTTTTTCTTTTTTCCTATGTGACAATATTATTTTTTACACTTAGTGCCATTTTATGGCACTAACTCCTTCCACATGGCAAAAACAATGCCAGTAATGTCATGTTTTTCTTATATAAAAATGTTATTTTTGCACATAATGTCATTTGTAAGGCACTAAGTTCATAGAGATGTCAATATTATTACCTTTCAAATCCAACATTTATAATGTCATAAAAATGTCTAAATGACACTGAGATTTATATCCCCTGTTTTCATATAAATCCCATAAATATAGTATTCAAATGGTGAGATGATATTTCGAAGCACTTTTTCCAGAACGGGTGGTGACGTTAGAAGATATGCAGTGCTGGAAGAGGGGACAGTAGCACGAGATCTAATGGTGGAGATGGAGACGATGGTATCAATGATCGGAAGCAACATCGGTGATTCGTGGCGAAGGCATCTGTGGCGGTAGGGTGGAGATTACAGTGGCGGCCAGAGACTAACAGTGGCGTCTGCCGACGTCCACCGGCGACTGGCGGTGACAACTGGTGCAGATCCCAAGTGATGCCGGTTGCGACTTGTGGCTAATGTGGGCGTGAGAGATGTTGTGCAGTGGTTTCAACTTATGTTTCTATTATATTTTTATTAAATTATTCACATTATTCATTAAGGGTACTTTGGTCAACTCATTCCATTTTACTCCTATAGAACTACACGAGCTGTTGAACTCCTAAATTTGCACTTTTGTTTTGTTTACTCCTAATCAGGGAATTAACTCTAGTATAAAGTGTGGCAAAGGCTCTCTCACCTACATGGGGTAAGTGGGGTATTAGACTCTCTACCCTAAAGTGTCGCAAAGGCTCTCTCACCTGAGGAGTCTAGGACCCGGATGATCAAACTAATAGTCTAATTACCTCTGGTAAAAAAAGGATGACACTCAATCCCTGAGGGTCCCCAACACCAACCAGACGGTAGGTTGGGAGGATGTAAATTGGATTATAATCACAATCTGACATATAGAGAGTGAGGCTCTGTTCCTGATACTTGCAGAGGTCCTATGCATTTTTAGCATAGTAACCTCTCATCGCAGTTGCCGAGATTTGAACTCGGGACCTAACCCTTCTAGCACTCCCTCACTACCAGGTGAGCTACGCCCACCGATAAATTATGATATCATGATAATTGCCTCTTGTAAGAGCATCTACAATGCTACAATGTGCACGGTGCACATGTGACATGAGAGATAGCCACATAAATATTAGCAAATAAATTATCACTCTCCTTATTTGAATGATTTCACACAATTTTGGTAAGTTTTTCTCTGCAATGTCAAATGCAATGTCAACAGCTAGACGGTCTCCTTGACATTGTGGAGAAAAACTTACCAAAACTGTATAAAACCATTCAAATAAAGATAGAAAGACTTTATTTACTACTCCCTCCATCCCAATTTGATGGTCTCATTTCTTTTGGGCACAAGTTTTAATAAAGTGATTGAAAAGGTAAAAGTTGTGGTTGAGATTTGAGTATAATAAAGTGAATGATATGGACCACATCTTTCTTTCCAAAAAGGGAAATAGGACCATCATTTCGGGACATCCAAAAAAAGAAATACAGGACCATCATTTTGGGACGGAGGTAGTAATATTTATGTAACTATTTCTCATGCCACATGCGCACCGTAGATATTATAGCATTGGAGATGCTCTAACTAATCTCATTTCTTCTAAGAATGCTTTTACTTGGATTGTTTTCAGTCCCAGACCAGATCAAACCAGACTTGGGTATTATAAGATACACTGAGACCAAACATTTACTAGATCAGACCAGTTCAAACTATATTAGACCAGACCAACAAATTTCAACTCAAGTAAAAGCATCCTAAAATAACCGCAATCATGCTCTATTGATGAGCGAAATTCCCAATCACTATTAGAAATTAAAAATGTTACAGGCAATAGGCAATGGCGGAACCAGAACTTTATTTGAGGAGGTGGTGATAAAGGAAAGGAATATATAAAGATTTTTTTTTTGTTTTCGCCGGTTTACACGTTTTTAGACATGTCCCATAGTTTTTTGTTTAAACGGGCAATTCATAAAAAAATCAGAATTTTTGAAAATAAAAACATAGGATTATCTAAATTCAAAGTGTTAGAAAACTTTCCTTCTTGATGTATAAAAAGTGTTAGAAAGCTTTCGTTCTTGATGTATAAAAAAAGTGTTAGAAAACTTAATATTCATATCTAAATAGCGAACAAACTACTGGGAAATAAGTTCAACACAAGATTGTTTTTCCTTTTTACTCTCTTCATTAGATGTGTTTGAAGACCGTCCAATCCGTGTTAGGAATTTTAACATGTTTAACCAAACAAATTGAGTTTTTTCCCATGGAGGGGTGTTTTTCAAACTTATTTACCAAACTAGGGTACTTCTAAACTTATTTTCCAAATAAGAATATCCACATGATGCCATCAAAAACAATTGCACGGCACAACCCCACATCAGCTTATCCATGTCACCTCATTATCACTGCATGACACCACATCAGCTTATCCACATCATGTCATCAATTCCATGTCATCAATTTTGAGAGTTTAGGCGTGCCTCTAAAACATAGAAAAAAATGAAGCCATCAAGATTCAAACCTGGGTGGTACACATGAAAGACATGCATCTGAACCACTATACTACACCACTCAATTGTGTGGTACTCCTTTTAAGAAGGATAAATCATGTATTCTTCAGCCTGAGAGTGCACTATTTCTTAATCGCTTGTATTATTCGTTTCGTTTAGAAATATATTTCTTTCTTTCCCAAACAATTAAAAATATAACAATAAAAAACTTATAAAATAAAATAAAATAAAAGTAAATTTCACGCTAGTCCACTTTAAATTCTATAAAAAATTTATTATTAATGTAAAATATCGTATAAATTTTTATTTATGAATATTCTCTATAGCAGCTCAATTTGGTTCAAGCTCGGCTCGACTCCGCCTCGAAACCAAGCAATTTTCTTATATAAATTTATCAAGTTTTTTCTTTCTCTTAGATAAATTATACTTTGTATATGATTTTCTTGACATGAATAATATCTGATTTTAAATTAGGGTGGGTTAGAGCCTTTCATGAAATTTAGTTATTATAAATTTTAATTAAGTCTTTATTTTTTAATTATCTCAAACCTAGTATTATATGTAATTTTTTAATTATTTTAAAAAGAAGGTAAATATTTTTTAAGCAATGAGTAATACACAGGTAAATGTATACATTCTTGGACTTAAAGTATTTGTATTGCAAATTTCACTAAAAGTTAACATCTAACAATTTAGTTCAAATGTCAGCGTTGTATTTGAATTTGAAACAATAATAATTAATGAGAAAAATATGAACTGGGTCGAGAAGAGTTGAACTGCTATAATGAAATAATCATAACGAAAAGCTTAATTTGCGATATTTAATTATACAAAAATGTAATTTAAATTTATAATAAAAAATTGATATATACGGAGTATAATTTCAAAGTCATTTGAAATAACTCAACGATAAATAAAATAAAAAATAAGTAAATTTCATGCAATAAGTAACTTAGAAATGACTGTTGGGTTAATGGCCCAATGGGGGTTGGCCCATAAACCCTTGAAGGTCCATCCTACAGTGTCTCCAGAAGGCCCAAAGGCAACGAGATACCTTTCCCCGTCATCCAGAGGACGTACATTGCCAAAAGTGGGTTCCTTAGCCCAAGTATTGAACGAGACGTACGTCCCAAGAAGGGCCAAAGGCAACGGGATACCTTTCCCGTCATCCAGAAGACGTACGTAGCCAAAGGTAGGTTCCTTGGCCCAAGAACATAACAGGATGTACGTCCCCAGAAGGCCAAAGGCAGCGGGATACATCTCCCCATCATCCAGAGGACGTACGTAGCCAAAGGTAGGTGCCTTGGTCCAAGCATAGCACAAGACGTACGTCGCCCGAAGGCCAAAGGCAACGGGATACCTTTCCCCGTCATCTAAAGGACGTATGTAGCCAAAAGAGGGTGCCTTGGTCCAAGCATAGCACGAGACGTACGTCCCCAGAAGGCCAAAGGCAACGGGATACCCCTCCACATCATCCAGAAGAC